CTGTTGTTTTCGAATACGGTTTTAATTTTGTACTGCATTCTGTAGTGATTTCTTATATGATTTGCCAACAACGAAGTAATTTCTTGTAGTGTACTTCTAATCACAAGAGCAATAGATGTTCTGTATTCCTGGATAATGGCGTTATAAAGCACGCTATATCTTACCTCTTCCTATCTGGTAAAAGGTTTCCCCAATGGGGATCGCTGACAACCACCCCGTTCAACCTCAGCTGGTCACAAGACGGACCTTTTAACTGTGATATTTTTGTTCTAAATTAAACTTTTGCTGCAAATTTTAAATCTGTATATTTTAGATCTGTTTTAGTTTATATTGTTTTAAATCTCTAAACAACAACCTATCTTTTTAACATTTGCTGGTAAATAAACCAACAAGTAAATGAGAATGTACCCAGAATTATTAAATTTTTGGAATACAAAAAATCGTTGACAAATAAATTATTTACTTTAACTTATAGTACAATGCATCAGACCCAATACAACATTTGAAATACATTGTTTTATTCTCAGACCATCACACACCTCACATCAGTGCCAGAACATTGTATTACATAGATATTTTTTGGGTCTAATTATCATAGTAAAATAGAAAATATAACTGTTTCTAGCCTTTCTTTTAAAACAAGTCGAACTTACGTTCTAGAAATGTGAAGAATTATGACTTGAATTGGGATGTCTGAGTAAATCCACTTCTTTCAAATTATAAAATCACCGCAATTGGTTCCGATGTTCGTTAACGGTAATTGATTAAGAAAATGAACGTGAGGTGAAAAGTGACAAAGTTTCATAGAAACACTGTCGCCATGGAACCACAACCTCACCGTTACTTGTGTTATCAATTCTGTTAAATATTTCTATTGATTATTAACTTTGGTATCAGATAAACTAATACAGTAATAATGGAGACTACAGTAGAGTGGCAAACAGCGCGTTCGCGATAGTGTATTATTTAGTGAATGCACTTCAATTCCAGTGCAATGCAAACATTTTTAAATTATCCATCACGTGATTTGCTACGATGCGCCGCAACCTCATTTACATGCTGGTGAGCATTTGGACTGTTTACCCCACCCCATCCCATATTATGATATGGAACTGACTATTTTATCAATCGAATCTAGACTAGGTTCCAGACAAAACATTTGACAAAATAATTTCCTAAATGCGTAAAGTGCGTGCTGTATAATAGCCAAATTAACTGACAATTCAGTAAAATAATGTACTGGACAATACTTTTGTATCAGTATTAATGGTAGGCCTACATCCAATATAGAAATACGGTATTAAAGCTTACTTAAAACTAAATTTTTAATATTTGTATAATGTGATATTATATTATTAACTCTTTTTAGTTGTAATGTAGCCATGGATTTATACATTTCTTTCTAGCTTTCCCTGAACTAATGGACTTATGTAGAACCTAATAACCAACAAGGAAACCGTTTCCTGTCGTACATATGATTAAATAGTCACATTAATACCCTTTATAATAATAAATTTATTTTTTAAAAGCGCATAGTGCATAGCCACTGCAATGTGCTTTACATTAAAAGGAAACCAGACAATTCGAAAACTAATGATGATTTATAACGAGTTTAATAATTTAACTCATCATAGCAAACTTAGTTTGTAATTATTAATAAGGTACTTATTGTAACTATAAATTTAACTTCAAAATCAACATTATTTTCATCCCATATCATTTCACATTAGGCTTATTTGATTTTATGTTATTTCAAGGTACAAAGTTCAAAGTAATTCTATTGTCAATCAGGGGTGGCGCCAGCGGGGGGAGGGACCCCCCCCCCCTCGTCGGGGAGAAAAAGCACAATTCGTCGGGGTGAAAACAAAATTATGTGTATTTTCTTGATAGTAGTTTGAATATTTCAAAATAATGGCTAATTTTTCTAATTAATATGTATTTACAACATAATATAATGTAATATAATACTGGATTGTTAAATATAATATAATCTAAGATTATCATGAGATGTAATATGCCAACTAGATTTTCTAGTCAATGGCTGCCAATAACTGATATATTTTCAGTGGCTAAATTTATTATTATTAGTAGTAGTAGTAGACTCTAAAATCGATTAAATAAGCCTTTGAAACACCTAAATTGTCAAAATTTTCGGGGGCTTCGCCCACTGGACCGCTTTCGAAGCCTTTTAATCGAAGCCCGACCACGCCCACTTTGCTTTCGTCGGGGAAATCTGACACTTCGTCGGGCGCGTCGGCTACCCCGTCGGGGACCGCCCCCCCCCCCCCCCCCAGCCGGACAAATCTTGGCGCCACCCCTGTTGTCAATAATACAAGTAAAAATGAAATTTGGTTTCCTCGTATACACAAAAAACAGTGAAAAATATCAACAGTTAAATTATATTCTAAATAATAAAATTCCACAGAATGACAGCTAAAAAGAAAAATTTTTAATAAAAAAATAAAAATAACAACAATAATAATAATAATAATAATAATAATAATAATAATAATAATAATAATAATAATAACCTTAATACAAAAACAAATAGAAAATTACAGTTTAAGTATCATTATATCCATTTTCTTAACTTGATAAAAAATATATACAGAATATTCCAAAGTAAGTTTTAAAAAAGATTAGAAAAATTTCAGGTTAAATAAAGTATTATCAGCTCAGTATAATTCTTAATTTAGTATACAAAATATAGTACAAAAATAGTTTATAAAATTCCAGTTTAAGACATCCAAGTAAATCTCAATTTTAAAATAGTTACAATTAAAATTAGTTCAATTAAAAAGTTTAATTAAAAAATTGGTTTAAAAATAATTTAATTACAAAAAATAATTGCAGCTATAAAATATCAAAAGTTCAATTTAAACATTATTTTAGTTTACCAAAAATATAATTCCAGTGTAAGACATCAAAAAATAACATAATAAAGTTTTAAAAAGAGAGTTCAAATAAATAGTAAAATTTAAAATGTGTTATCTTACCCCATCTTCAGTTCAATAAATTTCTTTAGTACCGTAAGCAAAGTATAAATACAATGTTTATTTCCTCCTAAAATCAGCGTTAAATAAAAATAAAGAGTTAGGAACAAAGGAGAATCTACATCTATTAGTTTTTGTACCAACTTGCCTGAGCCTACCTGATTTGTTGAAATGGAATATAGTTAACGGGGTGAGTAGTCACTTCGACAATGCTAGACAGTTTGCTTAGGGTTTCTTTCTCGTATACCTCTTTAACATTGAAAAAGTCATTTGCAATGCCCATAAAATTACTAGCCTTTTTTTTTAAATAACATACTTAATCTTATCTTTGTTACCCTTAATAAAGGTACATCCAACATAGAATGTTTATCAGTGGTAATTTGTTTATTATTTGATAAGATATTGGAACATGAAATTGTTTTGAAGGGAATGAATGCTGAAGTATATCCTCATACAGAGTATCAAAATTTGGTTCATTAAAGGTGCACTGCCTGGCCAAGAAAATCTGAAAAACATCAACAATTCAAATATAATTTGAATACCTCAAAGGACCAAATAAGTTATGACCAACCAGAAACAGACTGAAACCAAAGTATTGTTCAAAACAATCCTTAAATAGATTGCCAGTCAATTTAAGAATCTATGATGCAAACGAATACATTAAATGTATTAGATAACTAGTAATTGTAAGTGTTCAATTTAATGAGATATGCAACTTAAGCAATTCAAATATAGAATTGATTTATTTAAATATATTTATCGAAAATTTCTTTTCCTTCGAGTAACTGTATAATATTAGTAAATATATATATTCAATAATCAACATGGTACCATCTTGTTGGTTTCGTGTTGTACACTTGATTAAATCGTCACATTTATATGGTTTATTTTCTTCATAGTGAACATGGATTAATATTATATCACAGTGTTAATTGTTTTCACTCAGGTTCTTCGTTGGATCATGAAATTGTTTTGAATGAAAGAAATTCAATCTCCGTATAATGTAGGCCTCCTCCACTATAATATTAGGTTCATCGATGACGACTTGGAAGGTTTCCAATCTTTTAGGGTGTTTTGTAATTGTAAATATTCTAATTTTGTTTGTCCTGTCCTGTCCTGTTTTGGCTTTGGTTTTTCTGTGTGTTTATTTCAGGGCAGCCTTACACAAGCTCCACTTTGGGTTTAGCCCCTCAAACTTGGCTGGTTATTTATTATTTTATATATGCATTATTATTACTTTTGAGAAATAAATGTTCTTTTGAACTTTGAACTTGAACTTAAATGTATTTATGTCCGATAAACAACATACATTTGATCCACTGTAAAGGGGAGATCAAAGTTTGAACAACCCTTTTCTATATATCGTGTAGGCAATGCCGTATCCAGTATTTCCAAACAGTGTGGGACAATATTAGGGCGGACCCACTTTACGCTTAAATTCAAATAATGTGGACCCATTTTCCTAAAAGGTCTCCCATTTTACGCTCGAATATGAATAATCTGGACCCATTTTCTTAAACATTGACCCATTTTACGCAAAATATCAGAAATCTGGACACATTTTCTTAGAAACTGACCCATTTTACACAAAATATGAGAATCCTGGACTTATTTTAAAAATCTGGACCCATTCTTTGTGGACCCAATAGAAAAATTGTGTGGGACTGTCCCAACTGTCCCAATAGCTAGCTGCGGCATTGCGTGTAGGCCTAATAGGGTTATAGCTCTGTAGAATAGTAGTTACTTTAATATGACGATGTAAAAAACAGTCAAATAATGTAGGCTATTTTAATATTCAGATGGAAAACACCACTGATGGGAGAATATTTGCATCGACCGACCAGTGCTGGAAATCCTTTGATATTCAATGGAGGAATAAACTGTGTTTAGGTTTACGTTGATATCTTTGACAGAATACTATTAGGCTGTGAATTGAGTTTAAGTTCATATACTTTGAACGTACAAAATGGCCTTGTCAATTTTTGGAGTGAAATTCATACTATTTTCGACAGAAAACATAGGTACTGGTACATTCTTCGATGAAGATTCTTTGAAGTGGAAATTATTCAGTAACCTCTACTAGATTTTAATTATTGTCGTATCAACATGCAATTCTAAACTATAAAAGAATATTTTTTTTAATTCGTATATTCATAAATCTTACATTTTTTAACGACTAAAACTATAACCAACAAAACATATGCAAGAATTAGGAATTACGGTATATGAATTGATACCAAGATAATTGGCAATACTAATGTGCTTTCTAGTTGTTCCTTTGTTTGAAAAAAAAAGGAAGAAAAAAAAGGAAAAAAAATCTTCAAAACAGTCATTAAAATGCATCGGCTGTATGAAACCAGACATTTAATCTGTGTAGAAGACTAGTGTCGGATTAGAATAAGTGTAAAGCAAAATAATGGTCACTCACCAAATACTGTAAATTAACTAAATTGTAATTGTTGTAGAGATGGGCAGTTAGAAAGAAAAGAGAATTGTATAAAGTGGTGGGCATAAAAAGCATTATTTTGTTGTGATATGTGTAGCAATTTATGAATGCGAGATATGAAAATAGGATATTATTGGCGGCTTGATTGTGAGACATAGTAGAATAATGTAAAGACAAGGACGGCCTTAGGAATGTTCCGGGTATGTTCCAAAGGATTGATTAGAGGCCCATTGCTGTGTTGTGATGAGTGTATAAGCATTGTTACTTAAACACTTTAGCATTTTAGATTTCAACGATTTGTTGCTTAATTTTAAAAGCGGCTGGCGCATCGGTTGTACCTTGGACTCCCAACATTGAGGTCAAAACTCTCCTTGTCCTTGGGCAAGGCAT